GAGAGAGAGAGAGAGAGAGAGAGAGAGAGAGAGAGAGAGACGAGCGCATGGTGGCGGAAGGAGGGAAAAGGGCCCCGTACGAATACTCGTCGAGCTCGCCCTCAAGCTCCTGGATGCGCTTGGACAGGATCTGCAGGTCCTGGCGCATCTGGTTGACAAGCTGCTGAGTGGTGGCCTGGCCTGACATGGTTCTGGCGCCGGCACGCGAATGGGCAACAAGGAGGTGGGTGTCAGAGAAGGGCAGCCGAGAATGGAGCGAAGCAGTCGCCAGAGGAGGGGAGCAACAGCCGAAACAGGAAGGCAGCACAGGCAGAGGCAGGGAAACGAAGGGGAGTCGACACACAGTGGGCAGGGAGAAAGGGAGGCAGAGAGAGGGAATGAAGGGTCTCAGGGGAGGGGGGGAGGAGAGGAGAGAGCCAGCGAGTGGGGTTGAAGCCCGGGCGATGGACCGCCCTCGCCACAGGTCGGTGGCACTTGGGCACGCCCCCTTCCTGGCGAGGCGGAACGGGCGCCGTGCCGTACGAAAATGCCAGGCGGCAAGATTTGGAAGCAGACATTCCTCCCACCCCCCGGCCCCCCTCCCCTCCGCGAGCCTCACGCCCCCAAGCTAGCCAGAAGGGGGGCCCACCCAGCCGGGAGGCCCCGGGCGCGCGGCCCGCGCGTCCACCCAAGTTTGGGCCCGGCAAAAGGCAGGGCAAGGAGAAAAAGAGAAAGCGCGGACACCGGGAACCGCCGGAGGGGGGCGGCACACCATGGCCGAGCGGTGGGAGATCGGCCGTTGGCATGTGGTCAGGCGCGGCCCGCCGGCGTGTATGCATGATCTGGAAATGGTGAAATGCGGGATCGAACGGCCCGGGAAGGGCTAACGCGGGTTCGTGGTACTGTTCGAATTCCCGCGTTGGTTTGATTTAGGACTTCGTGGCCAACAGTGATCGCCCTCTTTCTCATCGGCCACCGCCGATGGCCTCGAAACAATATTGTGTCCTACTATTAAAGCAAAGATATCCCAAATGCGAGGATTTTCCCCGGGGCCGCGAGCGCTGACCCACGGCAGGCGCCCGCTTCATCGGCACTCCAAAACTCGAGGGTCAGCTCCGACCCTGGTGGGGCAGTTCTGGTGTGTCTCATTGCCGCCAGCCAGGCTGCCGGAACTTTATTTCCTCCCTGATGCGATGTCCCCTTGGTGCGGGGGTGTTGTCTGTGTCTGTTCTCCGTTCCTCTTCGTGGTCGGTGCGGGCTTTTTTTTTTTTTTAGGGAGTCCGAGGGGCGGCAGCGCGGGCGGCCGTAGGGTGCAAGTGCAGGCGTGTGTGAGTGTGGTCCCTGTGCACCCGGCATATCCCCACAGGTAGCAGGGGCGGGGGGCGGGGGGGGGGGGGACCTCCTCTCTCCCTCCTTCTCGCTCGCTCGTTCGCTCGACGGAGGCTGGTTGCATGCGGTCCGCGAGGGGCCACATCACCGGCGGCGAACTAATGGTGTGTCCCCCGGGGAAGGCAGGGGGGAGCCCGCGGTGGGTCGTTGGAAAAGGTGGACAAGCCGTGGCGCCCGCTTCATCGGCACTCCAAAACTCGAGGG